AATTCACAAAGAAAGACAGAAAATTCCTTGATAATCGTAGCCCATTGCAACAAAGAAGAGGTGACAAGGCAAAATAAAATTAAAAAAAAAAAAAAAAAAAAATAGGCTGATGCAGGATGATCGCTTAGACTCAATCTGCCATCGCAGCAGGTAAATGGATTCATGTTATTTAAAAGGAAAGGGTATTATTGTCAATTTTTTGTTTTCTTTTTTTCAATTTTAATGATTTAAATTGTAAAAAATGATTAAATAATAGTAAAACCTATTTAAAAAATTGATTTGGGTGAATATGATACTTTAAAACATTAAGAAGGGTAAATATGATATTTAAAGTTTAAGTTAGACCTATACGATATTTAAACGTTACTAAAGGTATATTCAAAATTCTCTCTCATATATATATATATATATATATATATATATATTATATATATATATATATATATATATATATATATATATATATATATATACCATCTTATAATGCATGCATATCAAATGTCTTAAATACAACATTTAAAACATGATGTACAACGAACTAAGTCTAATGTCTTAAAATTCAAGGGCTGAAATCGTGACCCTCCATTCTTATTCCAATGGCTAAAGATGGTAATCCATTTGATCGAAAGTTAACCAATCAAAATCAAAGGAAAAAATATACAGTTTTTGAAGCCCAATGTACAGAATTTTAAGCACAAAGAAACACATATTAACCTAATTTTTGTTTACACGCCTCTCTCTTTCTCAAACCTAAAAGCGTCGCTCTCTTCTTCTACCTCCCCAAATCTCAATTCAAATTTTGAATTTAACACGCTCCTTTCCGGAAAAACCTAACGCAACGACATCACCTTTTTCTTCACCACAATTGTCGATATTTTTTCACCCAAAGACCGACATACCCCAATTTTTTGGTTACCGACATCCTGGCCTAATGCGGCTGCAATTCCGGTGGCTTGAGATCAGAATGGAAGTACCCAGACTGACAATTTTCACGGTTAGTGTTCTTCAAACTCTAAACACGTATATGATTGTCTAAGGTTTTTAGTGGTCACAGATCTCTATCAATCTCTCCCTTTCTCTCTTTTACAGAAACAGGGGACAAACACACTCATATTTGCCGAGAGGGGTTCGAAATGCGCAAAAACATGAAGTTTGTATGAAGCTTGAGAGGAAAGTTGGATCCAGTCATCGGGTATAGTTTTGATAACCTTTCTTCATCTTTTTGTCTCATTTTTTCTCCCTTTCTTTCTCTCCTCCTTCTTTAAACTTTGATGGCTAAAATATTAATGATGGAGCCGGTCTCTTGGTTCATGGGGTGGTTTGTTTTGAGCTAAAATCGTAAATGTAAAGTTTCAGAACTAATTTATGTTTATGAATCTTGCAGTTTTTGGCACTCTCGCAGAAAACCCTAGAGCTTCAGAAATATGTTGATAAATTTTGTCCAGGTGAAACCTTCATCGGTCATTTTAGTTTTTTTTTTTTTTTTTTTTTTAAATTACCTTTTGTATAAGAAGAATAATGCTCAAATCTTTGGCCATAAACAGCTGGAGAGGAATTCATGAAACTCCACAAACCATCAAACATCGACATACAAACCTTAGACCGCCATTTCATACAAACTCCATATCATTACACATCAGCCGACCTGGGTGCAAGTATCCCACATATGTCCACCTGAAACCATAGCTACGACACCATAGCTACCGTAAACACCAACTCTCGTATTCTATCAGTTGACCACCCATATCACTTCTAGCTGCTGGGGAAAACATAACTCTAAAAATCATAGCTGCCATGAATCAACCTGGATCCGCAATCACGCCTCTTCCATCGGCTCTCCAACCTCATCTCTTTTTTCCTTTTTTATTCATCTGGTTGTTTGAAATCCAGGTTTCAGAGCAAGAAGACTTAACGGTGTGCAAAGGCTCGATTATGCATTCTCTTGATACCATTAGGCGATTATTAGTAACAAAGTAATTTGTGTTTGTTTGTATATCAGTATGTACAAATCTATATAGAAACGTTTTTAAATATGTCTTTATGATATCTATTTGCATATATGATATATTGGTCGTGGTGTTGGTTATATCATTTTGTCAAGATATATAATATTTTGGTCATGGCATTGTTTTTTGTTATCATCTTACTGTCGGGTTTTTTGGTAAAAGTAAAATGGCACTTATCATGTTGCTTGTTTGAAGGATTATAAAGAGTAATGAATATGTTGATTTTAATGGAGTATGTGGTGGCAAAACGCCTATATATTTTTGGTAAAAGCACCACAACGGCTTCTATTTTATTGTTGAAGTACAATTTTACTGATATGTTGTATGATTTATATTTATGTTTTGTTGTTGAGATTCAATTTTACTTATTTGCTGTTTGGCTTATTTAAAATTTTGCTGTTTTTTTGTTTGTTTTATATGCGAGGATGAATTTTTGAAGAAGTGACAAATCTAATAGTCATACCATATGCAACACAAGAAACAAATAAAAAGCAGTTTAGATATGCATTATGTTACCGGTTTTTGTATATGTTGTATGTTAAGACTATTTATTTGTTATAATAATCATCCTAAAAATGAAAGTGAAAGTGTAGATGTTAAACATTTGCTTTGTTAATGAATGTGAAAATGTATGTTGTCAAAAAATTGGTTTTTAACAGATTTTTTAGTTTTATTCTTAATTTGTAACATGTTCAGTATACCTCCCTAATGTTTTTGTTATTTAATTGATCAAAAACTTTAAAATAAAAACATTTTTGCATTTACCAGTTTTCATTTTTAAATCTTTATTATTTGTCAGATCAAGAGAGGTGATTATGACTAATCACAACAAATAATAAAGTTAGTGATATAGAACACAACTAAAGGTCTAAAACTTTTTAGTGAAATATAAATTGTTGATGATGTTAAAGAATATAATTTTTGAATAAATTTTTAATAGTGTTAGCACAGGTACTTTCAATTGCTATATAAATTGTTGATGATATTAAAGGAAATAATTTTTGAATAAATTGTTAATAGTGTTAGGAGTGGCAAATACGTACTTTCAATTGCTATCCCTATGAAAAGGACATCACAAGACCTAATAACTTTTCCAACAAAATCAATTTTCTTTGGAAACATAATCAATTTTATTGTTTACTTAGGACACATTGTAAGTTTAACTACCCATCTATTTTTTATGACATGTATTATTTATTTAATATGGCCATATATAAACTACATCATCAAATATCCTAAAGAAAAAAAAATATTGAACGAAACCAATTTTTTTGCACTGTGTACTTTTTAGCATTTAACAAATATAACAATATAATTGTAAACCAAATGCCCTCAATCAAAACCTTTTTTTTTTTCGTGAGAGTTACTACTATAATATTTGTGTGAATTAACGTTTAATTTATAATAGACTTAATCATTACAAAAGAAAGAATGTATGATAATAGATTATTATATAGTTCCAAGAATATATGTTGCGGGTAAAAGAATTAGATTTTTAGAGTTCCAAAAAAGAGGTAAGAGAAAAAAGATTAGACTACTCATCTCCACTATATAATCTAAACATGTACCATCTATCCTAAATATTAATTTTATATTATAAAAACTAGTATTAATTACATTTAAATAATATAAATATAAATGTTAAATGTATATTTCATTTTTTTAACATTGCATTTTAACATAAACAATAAATTGGTAAACGTTAGTATATTGGATGTGATCATTTTTTAAATTAACAAATTGTTAACTACTATATATAGAAATTGATATGTTAAAAACCGAAAACGTAAAAAAAATATAGAAAACGAATATTTACATGTTTTTATCCATACGTGCAAAAAAAATGAAAAATAAAATGGAAAGACAAAGTTGTAACAACAAATTTATTAAGTAAAAATGGATAATATTGTTTGCTAAACTTGTTTTTCAATTATTGGTTGAATTATATTAGAAAAAATATTGTCAACTTTCAGAACATTAAGTTGGAGGGAGTGGTACCGCACTTTCATTACTGCACTTCCAAAACCGCAGGGGGGGGGGTGTTTTAGTACCACATCAACTGAAAACAACGTATATTTATTTTTCACCAAAATTATACTAATGTGTGTATTATAAATATACTTGCTGATTCGTTACGTCCTTTTATATATTATATGATTTTAAATGAAAATAATAAATTATACATATGTATTCATTGACTTATTAATGTATGCCGTAAGAAGACTAATAGACGATAAATACTATTTATTGTCTGTCAAGAGATAACTAATCGTCATAAAGAGCAAATCGCTAGGATGAAACAAATGGAAATGAAACAAGTTGAAGCCACTCGAAACCAAACTAATTTTCATCTAGAAATTAATCGCGGAATAAAACAAATTGCCGCTACTACATCGCGCAGGTATCCCACTAATATATATATATATATATATATATATATATTACTTATTGTATAAAAAATATGCCCCTAATTATTTGATGCCTTAGGCTAAAGCCTAACTCGTCCATCTATTGGGTCGGGCATAGTGGTCTTTTCTCAATAGTCTAAACTTGGTGTCTCGTGTGATTTTTATTATGTTTTTTTTTATCTAAACAGAGACCATTGATTCTTAGTCGTGCGTTCCCAACGATATCTGTATGTGGTTTCACAAATACATACTTATATACCCAAATGTCATTCAAGGTTTTTTTTATTGCTAAAAAGAAAACACTTTTGTTTTTTTATGACTTATCTACACATTAGTTTGAATCCCTCTCTTGCATCTATTTTATGTTCTCCCAATAAACAATAAACAAGAAACAACATCATGTGTTTTTATATTTTAATGAAGGCTTTATTTTTTTGAAGTCCCGGTCATCGGTTAAATATTTTTTTAAGCAAGGACAATAATGGTTGGCGCTTCTAATTAAAAGCACGGTTCTCTTTATATTCAGAGAACCATACCTGCTTCAGTTAACCATAACAATACATATAATAACCAATATTGAAAAACAATGTCTTCTTCAGGGTTAAACCTAGAAAAGTATCGAATTCCACTAGCAGAGATCATTCGTGCCACAGATAACTTCAGTTCAAAAACATTAATCGGAGATGGTGGATTTGGTATGGTTCACAAAGGTCAACTCTCTGAACTGTGGCAAAACCCTACAGTTGCCATCAAACGCCTTGATAGGAACGGCTATCAAGGAAACAACGAGTTCCTTAACGAACTTGAGATGGTTTCCAGTTTCCACCATCCAAACATAATTCCTTTCATCGGTTACTGTGATGATGGCAACGAAATGATCATAGTGTACGAGTATGCAGTTCATGGAAGCCTCGATCGTCATCTCCAAGACCCGTATAAGAGGCGTTTAATAACATGGACACAACGCCTGAAGATTTGCTTAGGTGTAGCAAAAGGACTCAAGTACCTTCACTCAGGTGTTGGGGAGCACAAGAGAGTAATACACAGGGACATGAAGAGTGCTAATATACTGTTAGACGACAATCTGGAAGCCAAAATTTGTGATTTTGGTTTATCAAGATTTGGTCCAAGAAATCAACCAGTAACCCAACTCGTTACAAAGGCTTCGGGTACAAGGTTTTACATGGATCCTATTTACAATGAAAGAGGCATTCTCCGGAAAGAATCGGATATATATTCATTGGGAGTGGTTCTATTCGAAATGTCTAGTGGGACACTCGCTTATCAAGGACGATGTTTTGGAGATGATGCTAAGCCACAATATCTAGTAAATTTGGTCAGATGTTACTATGACGACGATAGACTGGACGACGAGGTCGATGACGGATTAGACAAGTTAATTGATCCCTATATAAAGGATCACATTGAAATGAGTTCTTTTAATATGTTTAACGAGATTGCTCATCAATGCATTAACATCAAGTTAAAGGAACGCCCTACGATGGATAGGGTCATCGAAGGGATCGAAGAAGCGTTGAATATTCAAGTAAGCTTTTTCCCATTTTGTCTTTTTAATTAGGAAAATTTCGTAATTAAGCAAGAGTAAAATATTCTACCATTTGTCATAAAATATGATAATTTTTCATTTTTTTCCGTCAACTAACCTTATGATAAACTAAAATAATATTTTGGTCTGTTCCATGTTTGATGCTTTTCGAGGATTAGTTAGTTGAAAACCAGTGTTATTTTGTCAAACTTGCTGTAAGATATTCACATATCAGAAGTTTGTAACTAAAATTATGAATATATAGAATACTGCTAAGCATGAATATATTGTTTTGTACACATTTAGAACATGGTTACACTAGATTACTTTTTTTTTTTTTTTTTTTTTTTTTCTTTTTTCTTTAATTATGATTTGAATTTAGTATTCTTATTAATCAATGCTTTTGGAATTTGACAGAAAACTTTGTTTACACGTAAATTTCATTAATTTGAGTATCGTGTCATGGAAACTCACACTTAACGCCTAAAACGAATATTTAATCTGCTATGATTTTATATGGCAGTGTAGATAGGGCTGCAAACGACCCAAGCCCAAGCCCGAGTCTATTCAGATCTCGCTTGGGTTCATTTATGTTATACGAGGCTTGAGCTCGAGCTCGGCTCAATTCAAGTTTTCTTGTACCGAGCTCGGGTCGAGCTCATAAAGAATTATACAAGCTCGACTCGGGCTTGAGTTCGGCTCGTTAGTTGTCTAACGTTCTTGAATAAGATTAAGTTCGGCTCGAACTCATTAAGAAGCTTGTTTATTGATACCCTAAATCCCTAATTCTATAAATAGTTTTTATTTTAATATATAAAAATGATATTAAATTATAATATATATAGACTTATTTAGGCTCGTGAACCTAATCGAGTTTGGTGTCAGAGGCTTTCAAGCTCGAGCTCATTTAATAAACGAGTTAGCTCAGCCTCGTTTAAAATAAGTTTCGAATCGAGTTGTTAACGAGCCGGGCACGAGTAGCTTGTCTCGTTTGCACCCATAAACATAGACAAAGCTTTTTCGTATGGTGTGTTGGTTTTGAAAAATTATACCTTGAAAAATAATCTTCTCAATTTTTCGTGTAAATAATGGTGTACGTATTATATATATAGGGTGATGTTCAATAAAAAATCATAATTAACTAAGGAATCAATTTTTTTTTTCAATTTTTAGAACTTATTTTTTATTAAAAAAAAAACTAAAAATATAGAAATTCATAACTTTTTATCATTTTTCCAATAATATCAAATTCGAAAAAAAAAAACTTTCTTCAAATTCACAATGTAAATCTTTGAAAATTCACATTGTCAATCTAAATTCACACGGTGAATCCTAAAAATATTTTAACATTCACAATGTTATGTTATAAATTTAGATATTTTTAGTTTTTTTTCGATAAAAAATAAGCTTTAAAAGTTGAAAAAAAATTTAATTCTATAAAAAACTAATAATTATGACTATATATATATATATATATATATATATATATATATATATATATATATATATATATATATATATATATATATATATATGGGCAAAGTGAATATATCTAACAACCTTATATAAGCTTAGGTACCTAACCTCATTAAACTACGCCATTTTGCATTAAATTTCCATTGCAATCATCCACGGTTCTTAAACTTCATCCCTAAACTTGATTTACTTCAAAAAAATTTGGAAATTCACCATTATATTTCTCCTATATCATTTCATTTGTAGTGGTAGGATATGAAGCCCATCAGGCGGTATTCAATAGAAAGACGTGATGTAAAAGAAAGATATTGGTGAAAGTCCAAAGATTTTTTTAAGTAATAAAGTTATGGGGTTGAAGTTTAAGAACCTTAGGTCATTACAATGTAAATATGATACAAACCAATGTAGTATTATGAAGTTAGGTACCTAAGCTTATATAAGGTTGTTAGGTATATTCACTTTACCCTATATATATATATATATATATATATATAATATATATATATATATATATATATTATATATATATATATATATATATATATATATATATATATATATATATATATATATATATATATATATATATATATATATATATAAAAGTTCATTTAAGACCGAGTTTTCCTTTTTACAAGAGATTCAATCTTAATACCTTATTTTAGTGATTAAAAAATAAAAGACAATTAGAATAATGGAAAACTAACAAAAAACAAAAAAAAGAAAATTATAAATTGTTTTAACTTTTATTTTTGAAAAAAATATTAAAAAAAAAAACATATGTACAAAATATACGGATAAACTTCACAAACAAATATTCCAACTGAAATTAAGTTCATGATAAAATTTTTTATCAAAACTTATATCGTAATATTTTAATAGAATAATATACAAAAAATAAACATATACGGAATTTTATTTTTGAACTAGTTTATAACCCGTACGAACAACACGTTATAAAATTAATTAAACTTTCATAATAAAAATTTATAATTATTAATCAATTATTTTTTATAAATCATTTTACATAAATTACTAATTAAAAGATATATATTAAAATTTTAAGTTGTTATAACTTCAAATTTAAAATATAATTAAAAAATGTAAATTTAAACTTTGAAATTTGTTGTCTATTATATATACATGATACTTGATAAAAAAAAAATTAAAACTATTTATTTATTATAATATAGATATTAAAGGTAAGGTTAAAAAACAGTAAAAATGTAGCACCATATTTCAACAACTTGCCACTTGTATAATATTAATATGCGACGTCCACATACTTCTTTCAAGTATTGAAAGCCATGCAAAAAAAAGTGGCCCATATTTATGAATTGTTAATTGCTTATTTATTTACAGATGTGGGTGCTCTCATTTTTTTTTTGTTGAAAAATAATCAAAATAATATTTAAAAATTTTTTCAAATTCTTTGACTTATGTTGTATTTTAGAATATTTTTTGTGAACATCCGGAATAATTTGTTAGGAATACCTCTCCGAACAATATATATATATATATATATATATATTATATATATATATATATATATATATATATATATATATATATGATGATCGCATTTAGCAACTAAAACTCCAAACCAACAATCAGATAATATTCATATATTTGTCTTTGCTTCTTTGATACTGGATTATTGTTACCGGTGGTAATATATAGGTTTGGATATGACTGCAGGAAAGAAACCCGATCCTTACTGAGTGTGTTCTGAAAGATAAAATATTCTATCAAGGTAAACATGTTGCTGGGTTTACCATATACAAATGGCTCCACCGTTGGAAATCTTTTGAAGCTGAAACAACTAGTGTTTTTGAGCAGCTTATTAAGATAATTGATGTAGCAATCAAGGTAATTCCCTTGTTTTTTTTACCAGCAAAACTTAGATTTAATTTTATTCAAAATGACTACCGAAAATATAGATCAAAAGAAAAATAAAAACATTAGGTAATAACAGTCTTAGAATCTAGAAGTCATCCAACTCACGTAATGATGTCCTTCTACTCCTATGACTAATCCAAAAAAATAATAACCCTAAAAATCCGCCTTCTACTCCTTTTATATATATATATATATATATATATATATATATATATATATATATATATACAAAATCCAGTTCTGCTGAGCACTAAAAAATCGGCGAGGACAATCCTTAACCACTCATTTCGTTATTTTTTTTAATCAGATATGATATGTAATTACACATTTTTGGTTAATTACTTCTTTTTTGTTTGGTTTAAAACTATCATTTGTAGACTAACTTATTGGGAAACAATAGTTTAATGAAGTTGAGTTGTGTATTCACATGTACCTTCAAGGTTAAACGAATAAAATTATTATTGATTTTCACTCTAGATGTTTGACATAGACAAGATTGAATCTAGTAAAACTAAACTTCTTATATACACAAACCTGAAAGAATAAAATATTTTGACACAATAACCCTATAGTTATTCAATTTATTTCAAATGGTTGAGGAAATTATAACATTTAAAACCACTTTACTACCTCCTAACATTTAAAAACCACTTTACTACCTCCTAATGATCTACATAAGAAACATTTGTCATTGTGGATAACATATACATCAAACTACCAAGTGTCTATACATAAGAAATTTATTCATCGCGTATAGTGATTGTTTATTTGTAAGTTTCAAGAGACTTCCTAAAGTTGTACTTCTAGCTTACTCACCCTTTAAAATGAATGTCTTTATCATATTTTATGTATTTTTCATGGAAAAGTTTACAGTATCTTTTGATCTATCTCTGGTTATGATCATTCAAAATATCTATCTTCTAACCTCCTCACCCCCCCCCCCCCCACACACACACACACACACACATATATATATATATTATATATATATATATTATATATATATATATATATTATCTTCAAACCTTGAGACAACACTTCTTTAACTTGTTGACCTCATTCCCATCTGATCGAGCTACCAACCAATCATCACCTTATGGATCATCAATATAGTATAAGAATGATCCATTTCATATCACCTTATGGTATCAATATAATATATGTATCAAGTTGTCATATTTAAAATTACCATTTATTGGTTTTTTCTTTAATCCATACAAACCCTTTTTTGAACTTGCAAACCTTATTTTACTTTCTGACTATCTAAAACCCTCCATGTTGTGCGATACATGATTTCTTAGTAACATGCTTTCGATTATAGGTTAGACTAAAAATTATGAGCATTTCATCAATTTGTTTTAAATATAATGAAGATTCACCGTATTGCAGGACTGTACTAGTGAGTATACGATTTATTTGTCATCAAATGTGTTGACATTGCTATTTTTAATCCAAGGATGTCTAAAATTTAATGATTCAAGTTTGGAGGTATCAATTTCTAACCTTAGTATTGGTTTTTCTTTTTTACTTATATACTTATATGTCATGATATGGTTTTCAACTATAATTAGGGGTTTGGAGTATCCCCATCTCGTGTAAGCTTTGTTAAGTTCGCATCTGAACTTGAGGAGGCACAACAAATTGAAGCCAAATATCCAACTTTGCTTTTCAAGAAACAGCTTACAACATACATAGAGAAAATGTATGGAATCATTTGTTATAACATGAAGGTGGAGTTAAGATCATTAGTCACCATTTGTATTGATCAGGTAGTTGACTCTAATTCATCTCACTGGTAATCTTGTGGTGTTAGTGTTGTCATAGATTCAGATTCGTAGTTGTAGATGTTTTCTCATATTACTTTCCATGCATGAATCCATCTTATAATGTGAAAATATAGGCTCCACAAACAGCCACGCAAGTGCAAATATTCGCATGGTCTGACGATGAAGATTCTCAGCCTAGTGATCAAACCAATAATTGGGAAGCCATAGTTGATTTTCTCAACACTCTTCTCAACACACTAAAAGAAAATTTTGTAAGTAGATCACATATAGCCTATTATTGTTTTTCATATTTCTATTGCAAAGCTAATAGATTAGTGTTCTATTTTTTGGTAAAAATAATATTTCACTAATTGATTAACATGGTCCAAATTTATACCCATCATTGTTAGGATTTTCCAAATTAAAGATAACAAAAGGTCCAATTCACTCATTGAATGTGAAAAAATAAATTATTCTTGAAAATCTGAGGGTTATTTGTGTAAAAAATAAGAAAGATATTTAGTTTAAAAATTAAAAATAATAATAATAATAATAATAATAATAAATAAATAAATAAATAAAAAAAAACACTAATATCTTCAAGTATATAGTAAAAAAATTAAAAAATATTAAAAAAATAAAAATAAGAAAAAAAATTAAAATGAAGAAAAATAAAAATAAATAAAACGAAAAATATAAAAAACGTAAAAACCGAGTATATATTTGTTAAGTTTTTTTTTTTTTGAATTAAAAAAAAACAAAAAAAAAATAATAAATTCACTTAATTGACGTTCCATGGATGTTCGTTGCACATTATTAAATCTGCTAGTCCGTATAAATTACCACGGATGTGGGTCGTATGCGAACGCACCTTGCCCAAGTATTTGGTTTGACGTTTGTGCCCTTGATGAAATGGGTGGCGGAGAATTGTTCTCGTAGTTCACACCAAAGCCGAACTATATATATATATACATATATATATATATATATATATATATATATATATATATATATATATATATATATGTTTAGGTTATTTTGTTTTTACTAACTATTGTGTGTCAGAATACACAGATGTCAATTGAATCATTTGCCATTCAGTATCCATGTCATTGTCATTGAGACACGTGGCTTTTGAAACTTGGCAAATCGATTCATTGTGTCATGTTTTTGTCTGGCACGACACTACACGACACAACAATGTTTTACATAACACGAATATGACACGACCTGATGTCGTGTTTTTTTAACTAACACGAAAACGAAACAATTAAAAAATGACAAACATGACACGACACAACAAAGATAATTTAATATAATCATTAGTTTATTGAATTAATATTTAATCATACATAACATGACAAACACGAAAAACACCACAAACAAATGCTAAATCGTGTCTTAGTTATTGTGATGAGATAAAGGAAATGAGTCTAGTCCTTTATTATTTTGGTACAACATTGATCATGTATGCCATAACATTTACTAGATCTAGTATCTTGTATGCCTTGAGCATGATGAATCGATATCATATCAACTCTAGAGAGAATCATTTAAATCGAAATCAAGAACATTCTTAAGGATCCTACGAGGATAAAAGAGATGTCCCAATAAGTATAAAAGAGATCAATGTAAGGGTTACACTTATGCTAGTTCCAGACTAGTAGACACGATTTTGTTTGTATTCGAAGTTCGTGTTCATACTGAATGTTGAAGCAGCAACTTGGAAGAGTATTAAGTAATACACCTTGGCAGACTTAATAAAATGGTAGAATATATTGTAGTGAGTCAGACTATAAAGAAAGCTAAGTGGCTAAAAGAGTTCATAAATGGTCTTAGTGTTGTTTTTCCAATCACTGATGATTTTGTTGAAATCTTTGTGTAACTATAATAGTGTAGTTGCCTCGACTAAGGATCCCAAAAATCATAATAACAGATAAGGAATATACTAAGTAAGTACCATCACATTTGATAGTTACTCAAGTGTGAAGAAATCATAGTTAGTAAAGAAATACTATAAGGGAATCTTGTTGATCCATTCACTAAGCCACTATCATTAACTAAGTATGATTGTCACATAAGATCAAAAGGCATAAGATTTACAAATGAATTAGCTTGAGCACATTTATTTTACTTTACTTTTATTTAGTAACTTAAGAAGAATAAATATTTATATGATTTGGTAATTATTAAAGAGAAAATTTTAATATCTATGTTGGAGAGCAATCATTTCATTAATTTATTTCCGTGTTCCGTTTTGCATGTTTTTTGAACCAATTCCACAATATTAATTTATTTGAACCTCCACATTTGGCCATACTTGTGGAAGTAAGTAGTGATTTAACAATATCATGTAGTATAAACATATTGTTCATGGAGATGAACATAACATGGAGATGCTACTAATACTCATGAGTACTAAAAAAGAGATTTTAAGTATTGGAGTAACCAACACTTAGATATTACTTCATGGAACCATTCACAAGTAATTCGAAGATGATAATATCTTATATTCTTCAAATGGATATGCATGATACTTTTTCACTACAATTTATTATACCTTAGTTTTTCTGTTGTTCGTAACTAGCAGTCATATAGGATTTGTCTAAATATAAAATGAGAAATAGGTGCGTTTATGTAGTCAAAGTTTATTTGTTCCTTTTGCCTTAACAATTTAAGTGAATATCTCTGAGGCCCTTGATGGTTTGGTACTGACATTAATATGCATGGTCGTGCTCAGACTGAATTGATAATGGATCAATGATGTAGTTTTTCGAGGTCAAAACAAGTCTCTATCGGGAAACATAGTATTGAATGTTTGAGATTGACATGTTTTGACATCTCAGGTTCATATGAATATCAATTAGAAAAGGAATATTTGATTACTTATCTAAGAGTTGTTTCATAGGTAGTTCGTATGAGTATAATAGTCACATTTGATAACACACTGTCTACTTATTATTAGGGGATTTTAGACCACACAGTGTTTGTGACTTATGGAAGTGGGAGACTATTGGAAATAGTAACCACAAGCACAAGAGTTGGTAATATTATCATTAATAGTAATGTTCTTTAGGTCACACACAAGAAAATATTTAAGAAATAATTAACAAAACAAGAGAAAATTAGGATATATTTTGTTAATTATTAGTTGTTAGTAAATAAATTGAAACTAGTAAATCCATAAGGGTTTAAGTGAAAGATAGTTGCTTAGTGACCAACAAACCACTTTAAGGAAACCTTAACCACACGCTTATGTATAAGGGTGTATAATTGAATTTTAAAGGTGCTAGAATCAACCGAAAATTCATTAGTCCTTTTATTCTCTTTGAAATCCCAAATTTAGTCAATATCGCATAGTGATTTTGGATGTCGTGTCACGTTCCGATGTAGAACCCTAAAAAGTTTTAAGGTTAGTGTTCAGTACATTCATAAGCAATGGGATGTAGACATCCATACATTCAACAATGATTCAATCAAAGGCTTCAAGGGTATGATTCTAAACATTATGTTTCTTTTAAGTTTCATTAGATCTGATTCAAATTGTTATCCTTCATTAATTTATGGTATTTATTTGTATAGCTTATGTTGTGCCTTTGTACCTTATTTGTTTGTTTGTATCTCCACAAGCACAATACCTAGATTAAAGCTTGTTTGACATCACTAGATTCTTTGCTTCTTATTAATGGTTCACCTACTGATAAATGTATTCAAAAGAGAGGTCTCCACCAAAGAGGCCATATTTTAATATTTGTGTGTTTACTTCCATGGAGGATTTTGTGTCCTCGATAGATATAGTGACAACCCGTTTGTATTTACATTTCAATATTTAAGACAAAATTTGAAAATTTTCTCAAAGTTCTTTGTTGATGATAAATCTATAATTGGTGAGTGGATGACATACAATGCCTTAAAACTATATCTAGTCTTATGGTGCTTTCGTATAACTTCTGGTCTTAAGGTAAACTGGAGAGTTTCCTTTTGGAGACTAAGGTTAATAATAGAACCATTAAATATATGGAAAATATTTTGAAGTTTAAACTTACCATCTTATGTCTGTATCTTTCGATATTCCTATTAGGAATCAAATCTACCAGTAGAGAAATGGGAATGTTTGATAAACAAAAATTTTATGAACCTTTCTTAGTGGAAAGAGAAAACACTTTTGACTAGAGGACGCCACAACCTTAAAGCATTGGGGTCTTTATATTTAAAGTTTTAATGGAAGTTTTAGAAATGAAAGGGATAATAAGATTTAAGTGCAATTTGGCCTGGGTGACACATAAATAATATGCTTTGGATAATGAGTTAGGATGGGTCATAGTAGGTAGTCACTTTGTTTCTAAACAAATGCTTCTTCTAAATGGATATGGAATCTTCTTCTTTTCAATGAAGAGTTATCAAAATTATATAAGGTGAATATGGGCATCTACATGTCACCAATATTATCGAGCTCATAACAATGGTGTTTTTACTATGCTAAATAAAGTAGATGTAGCCATGCTAGGTTCGGTGAAAAAGAATATATGATATGGTACCAATACCATGTTCTGGTTGGACGAATGGGTTAGTAATCATATGTAACGCCCTATTCTGAATTGTTACCCATTTGGGCGTTGGTGTTGAAATGTACATGTTTCAAGGGCTTCGAATTTGGTTGTGGATCCAAGAGGTATTTTGGTAAAATGGAAATGGGCTTTTATGGAAATTGGATTTCCGTTCGGGGATGTATGGCAAGTTTAATTTGATAAAAGTGTAGAGCTTCTTGATACCTTTTAATGGATGTAAGGATGGTTGGAATCGGAGTAGTATCAAATAAGTTATGGCCTTCGGAATAAGTTAGGGTTTATGGGAAAACCCTAGTATGTGGGGCGTACTTATGTGAAGGGGGTTACGCCATGCATAATGATGAGTACTCTTAGCAAACTGCAAGGTTGCGATCGGGGTGCAAGACCTCGTACGATGGGCGTATGAGGAGTATGCTAGGCTTACGAGGGTTAGTGTGAAACCCTAAATTTTCATATTTGTACTCTATAAAAGCTTTATGTTAGCTTCTTTTGTTCATTTCTAAGCCAACCATCATACCCTAAAACCCTAAATCGACCTTGTAGCCTCTTGGTGGCATTCTTGTGCTATTGGAAGGCTTTGGTGCATATTTTTCCATTGGGAAAGAAAGAAGAGAAGCTTGAAGTTGTTTAGCTTGGTGGAGAGGCTTTGGATCCAGAATCTTCATCTTGTGGGGAAGCTCTTTAAGGTATCAAGTTTGCATCTTGTCATGTATATGTCTAGACTGTATGTACTCTAAATAAATCCAATGAATCACTTAGCTCTATTTATATAGATCTTTACATTCATTAAGTATGGTGCTTCTCCCAAATTTTTCAAGTGAAACAAATCTCAATCCAAGCTTTTACACTTCACAAACTTAGGGCATCATTTCCTATAAATTATATATCATCCAATACAGTACAAGGGTAACAACAACGCTCCTACAATAACTCTGACATATACTTACAGAACATCTTCATTTCTCAAAAGTTTAAAATCTATGATTTTTCTCATCAAAACAAAGATTCCAAATATGAGATGCTTGTTTTGGTCCATTAATGAACTTATTAAGTTCACACACCCTTCACAACCTATCTTAGTTTGAACATGTGTGTATTCATATCCAAGTTTGTCTTCTTCTTAAAGACTCACTTATACCCAACTATTTTAGGGTCAGGTGTGTGATCAACCAGATTTCCATCTTGGTTATCATACATGGATTGAATATCTCTCTCTCTCTCTCTCTCTCTTTCTCTCTCTCTCCCTCTCTCTCTCTCTCCATAGTCTTCTTCCCTTTTTATAGCTTTTAAGTCTAGCCATAGCTTCTTAATAGTTGGTAGACTCTGACCGACATCTACTAGTGAATCATTTTCCTTAGTGATATATAAAATCTATATAACTAAGTCAATGAGATCCTCTATCAGATCTAAGAGGAGTGGGTGAGGGTATTTCAAAGTCCTCAATAGGTCTTTCAACCTGTGGTTAAGTGTTGGTGCCAACACTACATTCTTTGTTAGTTGACTCTTGAATCTCATCGATATCAATCCGACTCTCATTAGCCTCTTTGGATATCA